ATGTCACTGTTAAACATCAGGTCTGAAGCATGTAGACCTCTTAGACCATTACTGACTTCATCACTCAGTGTTGAGTATAAAGTCAGATTTCTTGGTTGTTGTTTTTTTGATCGAATAGAGTCACAACGCTCTTTGTTTTTTTGTTTTTGCTCTTTTTCTTTTTAAACACAGCTGTCAAGATGTTTTTGCCAGGCACTGGTTTGTTATTATAAGTCAGCAACCAGTCTGTATGTAACATCAGTAAATACTTGGAACTTGTGTTTCTTCTGGCTAAAAGTCAAAGCCTCAAATGGTCCAAGCAGATGCAACTGGTTCACAAACAGGTTCTGGAACATCCCTGGAAAGGCTTAAAGAAATTATATCCGTGTAAATTCCTTTCTATGTCATAGCCAAATCTGGATATTTTTTCCTCAGTAAGTCCAATGATCAGATGTCAGGTGGTGGCAGCTGTTCCAGTCTTGTTTTTCTTTATGGTAAAAATGAACTGAATTCTCAGATATGGGATTTAAAAACCCAACCTGGATTCTATTAGTTTTAGCACATGCTTTAATCATTTTCCTGGAAATATTTCTCACGATGAATCACCCACAAAAAAGGGGTGAGATCATCAAATCTCAAATGACGCATAAAATCCTCTGTGCAGCATTTTGAAGAGGAGGGATTCTAGAAATATCAGTAAATTGTCTTCATTTACTCTCCAGCAATATAATACATCTGCATATAAAGACACACACACACACACACCGAGCCCATAAACCAGCTTTTTTGAATCTCACAATATTTAGATGTATGAATTTCTCCACAAACGTATCATCTTCTAAATATTACATCATCAATGTATCATCAATCAATCAAAACATTTAACTAGACAGTATTTCAGAAACATCTGTAAGCTTATTAACTGTTTCAATTCTGCAAAACTAACGTAATTTATGTGTAAAATACACCATTAAGCAGTCCTTCCACTTTCTTATTGAATGAAATGGCTCCAGGGGCTCTATTAATAGTCTTTGCTATTAACCATTAAGAGGTCTTTTAATATCTTTATGCATTCATCCCTGGGGATAAGAAACGACCTCTTTCCAAAAGCTGCTGTGAAATAATGTATATGTTCTCAAAGGTATACTAATTCAGAAAGATGTAAATATCCTTTGAGGTAGAAAACGTATAATAGAAAGGTAACTGTGAACAAATCTCCCTCTCTCTAAAAAATTAATTTCTAAATATATTTGAATGGTGTGGGTGAGTGACCGGAAACCACATGGGTATTAATGAGATGAAAAAATTATTTCTAATGACAAAAATTGCAGCAAAACAAGCAGTGATGAAAGGAAAGACATGAAAGAACAGCAACAGACTAAGGCTCGGCGAAGAAAACTTAATATCAATATATTCTGGCTATATTTGCGATGCATGATATACATCATCATGATATGCATAAATTACCTTAAAAAACAATAGAGTGCATAACATTGCACTGATCATTTCAAATTTTTGGTTTTAAATTTAAAACATTTTAACCAGCTCAAATCTTTTCACAAATAATACTGCTGCATTATGTGTTTTCATGTCAGTATTAGACCTTTAACAAGATCCCAGCAACTACACAGGAAACAAAGCAAAAAAACACAATGCTAAATAATATTTAAAAATAAAAAAGCTTTTTTGTGCATAAAAGCAGCAGAATAAAAAAAGAAACCGACCTCAAATTAGAAAAATAAAAGTAGAAAAAACTGTCTATAAATTAAAACATTATTGCTGGGTATTTTAAAGGAGCAGAAATAGTTGTAAAATTGAGAACTTTGCCAAGTTTAGAGAATGGCTCCAAAACCTCCGAATAAGACCACACCACATCACAGCTATTAGAGCATCTAAAAAACATCTAAATAACGTAATAAATAGTGTCTGATTTCCCTCCATCTCTTACTTTTCCTCATATTTCCGCTTTTTTAAACGAGGCGGCCAACGTCATGTGCTTCACTGCTGAGTTATTTAACTTTTTAATTTGTGTGCGGGGAGATGCTGACATGCGGAGTTTACAACATTCTTCATTTTGCAACAGATTACTATTTAGGTGGTGGAATAAATGTGTAATGATACCTTTTGCAGCAATGGTTTTTGTGGCACATCTTACAAATTGACGCTTTTTGTTTGTCCTCGGCGTGAAATACAAACATCTGCAATATATTGCTCAGCTGAAACACCTGCTGTCGCCATATTTCGTTTGCTGTAGTGTGTGTGCAGGCAGATAATAGCCCTGTTTGGCGGAGGGGTTTGTGATGCATTCAAAGTGTGTGGGAAAAATAATACTTTCAGTGAAATAGATGCAGAAGGCTTAATGTCGTAATCCGAATTTGTACTCCGTGGTTGCGATGGAGTCATTTTAGCCCTTGTTCTTGGGGAAATTGGAGATGCATAGAGTATATTTGATATATCGCAGACCACATCCAAGGCCAACAGAGAGACATAGATGCTCCACCGGATCCTGAGCCTCCTTCCAGTGGGATGTGCCTGACACACCTCCCTCAGGAGGAGGCATCCATAATAGATTCCCAGCCCACATTAGCTGAAACCTCTCAGAGGCTTGAAAATTTTTTACATTAGATCACTGCTGCATTGTAAGAAATGGAAATGTCATGAGAGCTGTACAAAACGAAATTTTGTTTTGTATACACTTTGTGTATTCAAAATGACAAAGTTTGTCCAAGTCTAAGGATGGCCGACTTCCTCACCCCACCCATGACCCTGAGAAAATTCGCCCCACGGCTCCATCAAATTTCAAGTAAGATGCTTGGATGCATTTTGGCTTTAAAAACAAAGAAGGTAAAAATGAAATTGATATGACGCACGTCATTTCCAAAAGGGGAAATATACATTTGAATATTTTCGTTTCATTGTTTTAAAGGACCACTGAGGCCATGTAAACGGCACTGATTATCCTTATTTTGTTATTTTAAGTTTTAAGAATCCTAAGATCTTTTTGTCAGTGTGTCCACGCCAGTAATAGTAATATTTGTGTCCAGTATTTGTTTTCTGGCAACACCTCCAAAAGTAATTTCATTAAATACATCTATATATGAATTCAGTTGCTTTCTGTTATGTATTGATTAAAGACACTATCCAGATCACACACAGTCAGTCAGCCACTGGTAAGGGCTGTATCCTTTTTCTACAGTGTTCAGTAAAAATATCGTGATGCATCGCAATATTTTAAGTATCGTGATGCACTGTGATAGAATCACATCGTGGCATGTGAATCGTGATTCGAATCGAATCATGTCTTCTTTGCCAATACCCACCCCTAGTTCCAACTGAGTGAAATCCATCAATCTCTGTTTTTTTAGCTAGGGTGAATAGTTGAATACTTTTTTCCTACTATAATCTAAAATATAAAAACGCTAACAGGAACGCCATCTTCTATTCAAACTTCTTGTAGCCCATTGTTTAATAGTTAATTGGTCAGTAATTTTCATACTTGTTGACGTTCGGTCTCTGTTTGATATCACTTGATCAAGCTTTTTCCACCAATCCAATATCCAAAATGAGCAACAGATGAATGTTTTTGCAAATATCATATCAGGTCAATGCTCAAAGCTGGGGTATCTGTTGTATCGGAAACTATAAACCTTTACAAAGATCCGTTAAAGCATAGTTTTATGAAAATCAATTCTGCAATTTATTTGTGAAATATTGCCTTTGGCACTACAGAGTATTTATTTATTATGAAATATTAGTCACTATCTGGTCCTTTTTTCCAAACCCAGAACAAAGAAAGTTGCCTTAACTACTCATATTACACTTTGATTCCAGTGTCCCAGTTTAGACTTTTATTGCTGATAAAAATCAGGATAACTGAGCGACCTCCTGCTGGCAGACTTTTATTGGGGTACAAATCAGTTTCATGGGTCGGCCGATTATAGTCAACTATACTTTACTGTATCAGCTGCCAGTCACTGTACAAAGAGAATCGTGGCAGTAGGTTCTTTTTTCCTCCCCCACTAAAAGCCTTGCATAGGGGGGGGGGAAAGAGACCAAAATCTTTGAAGTGGTGGCAGAAGGAACCAACCAGAGGCTCAAAATTAAAAGCAGAACAGCCCAACTAAATCCAACACTCACCAGCTTTGGGTGGGATTGAAACAGAAAGGTCAGTCATTAAATAAGAAGTGGGAAACCATACCATAAATATAACCTACACAGGAGCGTTGATTCCATTACCAAGCCCCAAACACAAACACATGTTGGGTTTCTTTTCGTCACAGTGATCCCCATTGTTTTTTTCTGTCGTCATCAAAGAGACTCAAATGACTTCTTTTAAAAGCATGAGATTTGTCAGGGTGAGTGCGTCTGCACAGCTTTCACAGAAGCTATCTTTAGTTTAAGAAAACAAGAGAACAAGTAATGTCTGTGTTAACATTCAGAAATGAATGCTATCTCTGTGCCAAAATCCACAACAGGGCCTTCTGTGAGACTATTAGTCTTCCTCTAACAAGCCGGTTAAAGCTCTGTTGTTTGGCTGTGTGCACATATTGTTTAGTGCAGGCTATGAAGAGAATTTTACCCAAAGGTCAGAAATTCTGCACCTTCATAAATCTGCCACTGGGAATGCGTTTCACCAATCTTTCAGAGGTCCAGAGACACAAAGCTCACTTTGTCGCTGCAGACTGAAGGCAGGAAACTAACTGTATGTGGTCTTGCAGTCAATTACACTCAGCTGGCTTTTGAACGGGTCTTTAAAAAAAACAGGAAAATTAAACCACATACTGAATGACTGGTTGTTTCCCCCCGCCCCGGTTCGGTGACCTATCCTCACGCTTTTTCTTTTCACATCATCTGATTTTGTTTTTTTATGCATGTACTCCCATATTCACTCACTGGGTATTTTTAGAAACACTGCTGATTTTGCTGTATAGACGCAAAGCTCCCAAAAAAAGAAACTATTAATTATTTAACGGAAAACTTATGTAACAGAAATTTTAGTCTGAGAACAGCGCTCATCTTACCTGTGCCTGTTCCAGTGGGGTCCCCTCCTTGAATCTGATAAAAACAGGAACAGTCAGGGTTAATGGTATGCAACCTGATTACCGTAAACAGATTTATTTAGACTTAATTTACAGATTGTCCTTAAAATTAACATAAATTTACTTCAGCTTTAAAACTACTAACACAAAATGCACTGTAGAGAGGACTGTAAGAAGTTTAACACAAGCTGGCTCCTTCTCATCTAACCTGCAGTCATGTTCCATGTTATCATTAATAGAGTTGGGCTTTTCCAATGAAAAGGCCTCTATTGTTCTTTGTCAACAGAACATGCTCAAACCTTCCTATATGGGCTTCCACATTTCCGAGAATTTCTTTAGGCTTTTTGTTTAAAAGAACCAGGATTTACTGGCAGAGTGGGCTGCTGTGAGGCAACATTCGATGCAATGGCTTCAATAATATTTACCGTTTCTTTTCACCCTACGCACAGCCCAGTGGGACAGAATGGAGTTGTTTGCAAATCTGTCATTAGACGTGGGCCTTAATGAGTTTTTAACAAGTTGATGCCGCAAGCAAAACGACCACAATCATGGCGTTACGTTTATTACAAACAGCACCAAAACAAAATGTACAAAACAATCCAACTGTTTTAATCGAAAACAAAAAATACTTTATCTTACAGCAATAATATTGCTTTAGACATTCATTTATTGACTTTTTTTGTTTGACACTACTTTCACTTCAGTGCTCATTGTACTGGTTATATCTTAAGTGTCAATTTGAGCAACAAGCAGCATTAGGTGGGTTATTATTTAGTCAAGGCTGTAATCTGCCTGCTTTATGCGCACAGTCTCTACCAACACGAACGGCATCTCAGGACAGAAGTGGATCTAATTAATTTCAAGTGCATCTATTGTTGTTACAGCCAGGTTCAAGCCTCCATTTAAGCTCAGTTCTAAGACAAAACAAGACCCCATAAACAAGTGGTTGAACTTTGCTTCCTATGTTTGGCATCTAGGCTCATATTTAGAATTAAGATACTCTGTCATCAGGAAGACCACAGCTCCTGATTCTGCATACTGAACAGCTAAGCAGACTGGGCATCTGATCAGGAGACCTCATGTCCCACTAGCAGAACTGTCACAGATCATTATTAGAGGGGCAATGTAGCAAAGGGAAGAGGTTTTATCACCCCAACAGGATTTAGTCCTTTTCTGTGTTTTTGTTGTCACATTCAAATGATTCAGATCAATTAAATATTTCTAAATGTCAGAAAAGGATAACCTATTTAAAAAAAAAAAAAGCAGACTTAAAATGACAAACTTTAAGAGGAGCTCATGCAGCTTCGGTCTTATGGTTTTAAACTACAGGTGCTGGTCATAAAATTAGAATATCATGAAAAAGTAGATTGATTTCAGTAATTCCATTTAAAAAGTGAAACTTGTATATTATATTCATACATTACATACAAACTCATATATTTCAGATGTTTATTTTGTTTAATTTTGATGATTACAAATGACAACAAATGAAAATCTCAAATTCATCATATCAGAAAATTAGAATATTGTGAAAAGGTTCAAAATTGATGGCCCCTGGTGCCACACTCTAATCAGCTAATTAACTCAAACCACCTGCAAAAGCCTTTAAATGGTCTTTCAGTCTAGTTCTATAGGCTACACAATCATGGGGAAGACTGCTGACTTGACAGTTGTCCAAAAGACGACCATCGACACCTTGCACAAGGAGGGCAAGACACAAAAGGTCATCGCTAAAGAGGCTGGCTGTTCACAGAGCTCAATGTCCAAGCACATTAATAGAGAGGCGAAGGGAAGGAAAAGATGTGGTCGAAAAAAGTGTACAAGCAAGAGAGATAACCGCACCCTGGAGAGGATTGTGAAACAAAACCCATTCAAAAATGTGGGGGAGATTCACAAAGAGTGGACTGCAGCTGGAGTGAGTGCTTCAAGAACCACCACACACAGACGTATGAAAGACATGGGTTTCTGCTGTCGCATTCCTTGTGTCAAGCCACTCTTGAACCACAGACAGCGTCAGAAGCGTCTTGCCTGGGCTAAAGAGAAACAGGACTGGACTGCTGGTGAGTGGTCCAAAGTCATGTTCTCTGATGAAAGTAAATTTTGCATTTCCTTTGGAAATCAAGGTCCCAGAGTCTGGAGGAAAAGAAGAGAGGCACTTCATCCACGTTGCTTGAAGTCCAGTGTAAAGTTTCCACAGTCAGTGATGGTTTGGGGTGCCATGTCATCTGCTGGTGTTGGTCCATTGTGTTTTCTGAGGTCCAGGGTCAACGCAGCCACATACCAGGAAGTTTTAGAGCACTTCATGCTTCCTGCAGCTGGCCAACTTTTTGGAGATGCAGATTTCATTTTCCAACAGGACTTGGCACCTGCACACAGTGCCAAAGCTACCAGTACCTGGTTGAAGGACCATGGTATCCCTGTTCTTAATTGGCCAGCAAACTCTCCTGACCTTAACCCCATAGAAAATCTATGGGGTATTGTGAAGAAGAAGATGCAATACACCAGACCCAACAATTCAGAAGAGCTAAAAGCCACTATTAGAGCAACCTGGGCTATCATAACACCTGAGCAGTGCCACAGACTGATCGACTCCATGCCACGCCGCATTGCTGCAGTAATACAGGCCAAAGGAGGCCCAACTAAATACTGAGTGCTGTACATGCTCATACTTTTCATGTTCATACTTTTCAGTTGGCCAACATTTCTATAAATCCTTTGTTTTTATTGGTCTTCAGTAATATTCTAATTTTCTGATATGATGAATTTGAGATTTTCATTTGTTGTCATTTGTAATCATCAAAATTAAACAAAATAAACATCTGAAATATATGAGTTTGTATGTAATGTATGAATATAATATACAAGTTTCACTTTTTAAATGGAATTACTGAAATCAATCTACTTTTTCATGATATTCTAATTTTATGACCAGCACCTGTAAAAGCATCAAATACCGTAAAAGAAACGGCCTAGTAGACAGAGAATCTGTTGCTTTACAATAAAGAACCAGGTTTCAGTTTACCAAAATACGACGCTTGAAGACAGCTCGTCTGTCCAGCCTCTGGACTCATGAATAAACAATCGGTGATGTGAATGAAAACCGCGGCACACAAAGAAAACGCCAAAGGTTTTCTAAAGACCAGATGTCCACTCGAGAGCCTTTTGAATTATGGAACCCGCAGCTTTGAACAGCCCATCAGAGAAAATTTGTTTTATATTCCTTGTCTGTGTTTAGAAGCTTCAAATAAAGAATTAGGAACAAAACAAAAAGCGCCGCTAATTAACAAAACAGAAATATTTTTAAAACAAAGCAGAATGGTGGTGAAAACCTGCTTTAGACAAATAAGATCAGTTTAAAGCAGAGATAAATCTGATCACAAACATAAAGGTTCTAACCACATAGTAGTAATGGTCTTTATTAGAAAATGTTTAACTCAACTATAAATTAACTATAACATGGATGATGTTATTCAGTAAACAAGAAAAAAAAAAAAAGAAAGAAACAATCATATGTCCCATTTACATTACCCCTCTGAAACCGATCAGTGCCGAGTTCAGACTGAGCTTGGATCAGTTAACAGTGCCGAGCCTGGTTCTTATGACCATTACCACATCATGCTAGCATGGTTCCTCGCCTCCTATCGGTGGTCCTAATACTACAGCTCTCAAGATGGGAATTACTCAAACAAAAATGGCGTCGCCCATAACATTTAGGAACTTATGTGCCTGGATAGCGTCCTCCGCTTAAATTTTAATGAGTGCTTCGGTCTCTGCATCATCCCAGACTTTGGAGACTTTTCACTCTCTTGATGCCATTTATTGTTAATAGGCCTAGAAGAAGTTCGTGTTGTGAACAGTTAAAAAGATCTGTAAATTGCAAAGCCGGACACGCTGAAAAAAAACCCACGAAATGAGTAGATGTAAATAGGATATGATACAGTCTACGCATGCGCTTTTTGTTATCAGAGAACTGAGCCAGAACTGAACCATACCGAGCTCTATTATTGAACTAGTACTACATTTAGCACGGTTCTGTTGTGTCAAGCACGGTCCAATTCAGTTATGTTCCAATTTAAACAGTTATCTCAGTTACCGTGCTCGGACCGTTCTCAGAAAGGTTTAAAGGGGTAGTGTAAATGGGGCTATAATGCTGGAGTAACTGAACTGACTATCACACTATCAAATGGGACACCCAAGCATAAAAATGACTTCTCTGCAATGTCATTTCAAGTCATGAAGGTTCAGAGGCATTTTCTTATAACAACCACATCCTTTTAGCCAGCCTGATATTATGAGCTTAAATATTTCTGATGTAGCTTAGTTGCTGTGTTTGTGTTTGACACATGGCCTCATTTTTAACAATAGAATACTCTTGTCTACAGAGGAACTTGTGGTGAAGTGAATGGCTACAGTGGGGCCAAGCTTGGGGGTTCTGAAACAACCCCAAATCATCAACCCTCCACCACCGTGCTGAAGAGTGGTATAGTCTACTTTGGTCTTACCTGCCTGTTTTTTTTTTTCCTATCTTTTTTAAAAAGGACTTATTCCTCCTCACAGTTTGATGATAAACTGCTGCTTCTCTCTGTCTTGTCTTCCACTTGGACATTTTTTTAACACATGCCTGTAATTAACTGCAAAACCTCTGCTTTTATAGAAGTGGTAACACTTGCAGATTTTGGTTACCGAAAGCACAACCCCTCTCTTATACTCCCTAGTTCCTGTCAAAGCAGTACAAATCTGTTCAGGTTTTCATGCATCGTCTCTTGAACAGGAAAGAAACCATTTAAAAACGATTCCACAATCTTGTTGCAGGCCTCAATTCAGTGAACACACTTTGTTTGGGGTTTTCCTTCTTAGCCTGCAATGTGCAACTTCAAGCCATTTTGACTGATACTCCTTGTCAATACTTATACGTTGAAGTGCATTTTATAGCAACTTCCTTCCTAAAAGTTAAAGCCATAATTGGACACAGAGATATGTTCTTCTTTGAGAGGTAGAATCCAAAGCAGACATAGCTGAGGGTACAAACAAAAATAGGACTGCACAATATAATGAATATTTAATACATATAACGATGCAATATTGTAACTGCAAAGGAATATAATATTGTATAAATATTTGTTCAAGCATCATTTAGACCAGTAAAATGAATGAACCTCAACGTCTCTCAATGATTACAACTAATATATTTCTTAGGTATATGACATAGAAGAGTTTATGAGGTGATTTGGAGATTATTAAATAACAGAAATAAATTTTTTTTTGCAATTTTCCGCAAAATTTATCGTTAGATTTTTTACTCTCAATGGAGCAGCTCTCAAAAAGAAATGAATTCAAAAATAAAAACAGAATTTAGTCAATAGTGTGGAATAGTGTTTCACAGTGCATGAAAAGAGACAGCAGGTTCTTCTTTCTTACCATAAAGTTCCTGATGGACCTGTGGAAGATTGTCCCATCGTAGTAACCTTTTTTACACAGACGGATGAAATTCTCCCCGGCTTTGGGAACCTGGAAGGAAATATATCCAGCAGTGAGATTTCAAGATTTTATCCACTTCATTTGACAACATTAGGAGACATTTCATACTGATTATTTAATTTCCAGTTCAGATTTATGAAATAAAGAGCTTAAAATGAATGCAAACAGAATAATGACAGAAAATACTCCTCAGTTTGTTTCTTGGAATTAAATTAAAGAGGTTTGTTAGTCTTCTCCCACTCTTCCACCCTGTCACTGTTTAACAAAAGCTAGAACGACACGCTCAGCTTAGGGAGAAGTTGAGTTCATGAGCTGCCAGAGGCAGCTTTACATGTCTGCGTGACAAAGCATGGTAGAAAGCTGTGTTCCGCTGGTGTAAAAAATACAATGAAATGTGTGGAGCACTGGGGCAGGGTTAAAACAGCCTACAGGCGTCCGTGTAAATCAAGACAGACACAGACAGAACCTGGTCCTGCTTGAATGGCAGTCTGAAAAGATGCATCACCCATTCACTGAGCAGAAGGCGTGGCTTCAATGCAGACTTTCATCAAGTCTATTGTCATCAATATCAATATCCTTGAGGAAGACTTTTCTGTTTCAGTGAAGGTCTGTCTGCAAATCTAACCAATGAGGGTTTTCAGGAACCACCAGATGCTCTTGTCCATCCAATTTTTCCTCACACCTCTAAATGTGTGAAAAGGTTTTCTAAGTTTACTACCATTCACTAATAATAACAATTCTCGATGGAGCTCTGCAATCTGTGCCATTTGCTTGCAATTTTTTTCTGAACAAGAGCAGGGTGCCCAGGTGTTTTTGCATATTAAACTTTGGCCCTTTACTATAAAGAATTTATTTTGTGGGGTATGAATCTAGATTTGGTTTGACCAAGTGTAAGCCATTTTTGCAAAGAAGAGTTGCCCATGTGGTTAGAGAGAGGAGCATTTGCATCCTGCAGAGGCTTCATGATTGCTGGTTCAAAACTCAGACTGTCCCTGTGGGTCCCTGGGAAGAACTGGATCCCCAGGTTGCTCCCCGTACTCTACTCAATGAGGCGACACGCTGCTCCCTAAGGAATGGGTTAAACGCAAAGGACAAATATTCCCTTTGGGGCGCTACAAAACATAAATACCCTGTAGTGCTTGGTTTAATTTTAAAAGAAAGATATTTTACTTGCATCAAATAAAAACTTATTTCATGTATCAAAAGAGGTTTTTGAAAGTTTAAAACACAACTAATATTGTTTGAGACCACAAAAGGCCAGCTTTGTCATCTCGTCACAGATTACCCAACATGGAAACAACAAAGCTAGAGGCAGCATCATCCATTGCTTTAAAAACAAGCAGGTACTCTGGGCTCTGGATGACAGTGAGTTTATGTGACAGTAAAGCTGTGCTCATTAATACATAAACGGCAAGCAGCCTGGGAATAGAGCTGCAATAATATGTGAAAACCAAGAGGGAGAAAAGTGGAGTGGAGGAGGATGTGGGGCATATAATATAGGTTTTCTAACTCCGATTACTCTGATTTGACAGCTAAGAGGCCAATAAAAACAAAGCACATTGTCGGCGTGGTTACTAGGGAAGAAATGCATTCATGGAGTAATTACTGACTGTGGTTCCAGGTAGAACATGACACAATTTGCTTAATTTTTTTATTTATTTTTTTTTAACTGATGAGACTTAATTGTGGAGGAAACTGATTTTGGAGAGATGTTGCTTGATCCTTCATAGAACTTACAATTTGAAAACCCCTCCTATGTGGCTGAATTAAAACAATTTACAAAGAAGAGCGGACAAAACCTTCACAGTGATGGAAAGGACTTATTACAAGCAGTTGCTGCCAGGGAGGCCACAACCAGTTACGTTTAGGAGGCAATTCTTTTTTTCACATAAAGCCAAGTTAGCTAATAGGATTTTTTTTTGTGTGTTTTAATACATACAATGCAATGCTTTAAAAACTTTATTTCATTATTTTACAGTTTTATCTGATCGAATACTTAAATCAGTTTGATTAAAATTGCAAATGAGACGCATAAATATACAGAAGTGTATAGTTTTCTGCCATCAAATACATTAATGTAATGGTTGACTGTGCCTGTAGAAGAAGAAGAAAAGTTGTCTTATGATCCAAAAGTTGTCTTATGATCTATTCCTGCTTCTGAAGATAGATGTGCAGCCATTCATGGTACAAAAGCCCACATTGTTACCCGACCTGCATATTGGTGGGTAAATGTCTGTTCGTTTGTGTTTGCAAATGTATGAATGTGACTCTAGAGTGAAGCTCTTTGAGTGGTCAGTAGGACTACAAAAGCACTATAACATACAGTCAATTTAGCATACATTAGCAGAGATGCAGCCAAGGGAGGAAGAAAGTGACACTTAAGCAGATAAAGCTTTAATTTACAAACTAAAACAACTGATTTCTGTTTTATAGGGATGAACCTGATAGGAGCAATAAAGAACTAATCAGCTCAGATTAACCAACACTGCTGACTGATGGACTTTTTTTTTTATCTATATCCATCTGATTCAGTTTGTGCAGTTATAAAACAAAAATAGTTACCCAAATGTATATGATCAACACATCATCTTGAATCAGAACATACATTTGATTTCTGCAACTTGCAGCTTCGGGGAAATATTTCAAATTCTTTGAAAGTAGGAACTACCTAGACTAAAGCCTCGGTCACACCATGACGATTTAGCCAACGTATGCCTGACGTATGAAAAATCTGGCAAAAACGCTGGTATATGTTGGATAAGTTATGGGTAAGTTTTCTATAATTTATGAGCACGCTGAAGCACGCTGAAACACTAGCACACGACGACATACAGCAAGTACGTCTTGACTTATTTGATTGTTGACATACTTTAAGTGTAAGTTACTCATAAGTCGTGGTGTCCAGCTAATCCAAAACATGTGAGTAACTTGTGCATAACTTATGCGTTACTTATCAAGAACCTATCTCCAGTGCATTTCCAAAGTATTTGACATGTTCCAGATGACTAATGAACGAGTTTCTAACTTACAGCTACTGTTTAATGGTGTATTGGCAGCGTTCTGGTATAAAACGGGGTTCAGAGGAGGAATCCGTCAGTTCGCCTCCAGACTTCATCCCAATCATAGGGTGAGAGAGAAGGTGAGTGTGATGAATCCTCCCTGTCTTCACGCCCAGTACCAATAAACTTCCTAGCAGACATGACCCTGAATCTGCTGAGACTGCAAACCCCTTTTCATTCTTTTTCTTTTTTATTATTATTTTTTGGGGGGCAGGCGGTAAACAGCAGCTAGGTTAATACCACGATCAAATTCTTTTTATGCAGACTTGGCTTGTGACATATTATGGGCATTATGCTGCTGTGTGTTATGAATAAGTTTGGCTGTCTTTGGACATAAGTTCTGGACTTGTCATGAATACTCTATGTATATGCCCAAAATTGAAAAAATACAAAGAAAGTTCAGCATATGCAAGCGTTTTAGATGATTGTGGAACATCGGCATACTCTGTCTGGAAATAAAGCCTATGTTTAATTTTCTCATAAATGGAAAAAGTAAATTACTTTTTCCAAGGGATGTATGTCAGATGCCAAAAACGAGTTCTGCAAACAACAACTAAATAAAATCTTTTCCCTTTTTCATTTTAGATTCAAACCACAAACCTTATGATTAGAGACTGTTTAGACAAATAATGCTCAACATCCTGAAGGGTAGTTTTCGTAACCACTGTTTGTGGCAATGGTCATATTTAGACTGTGAAAAGAGGACAAAAGGAACTGGATGCAAATAGGTTGCAAATTACTATCTGCTGAGCATGATGATGGCTGAGCATACAGTGGGATGTAATTAGAGTATTGTGCTACTGATAGTTAAGTTTGACCAGATAGAGGATGTGTGCAAATTATAGAGCTTATTATACTCATTTTACATAGAATTTCTCACTTATAATGAATTTGCCACTATATCCACCTAGATTCTATATTTTATTAAGCTTTGTGCCATACAATAAATGTCAAATTTAATCATAAAAAATTTATCATTTCAATTAGCCAATTTATTCATTCATTAAAGGGGAACACCGTTTTTTTTTTTTTACATTGGCCCATTGATTTTACGTTATTACATCATTGTCTACTCACCCATATGAGTTTTGTGATGACGTCATACACACTGCTTTGTTTTAAAAAAATATAAATATAAAATATATAACCCCGGATGTCTGGGGGACAGTGATGCGTCTACATGTTATGAATGCTGGTGTACCATAAAGAATAAATTATGAACAGTTTAGAGATTTTCCTGCAGCTATACAGCATAAAGTGATGTAAAGGCTTCATTAGAACAATACAAGAAATGTACTGTTCCAAGCAAACCTGTCAGACTACCTCACATGCAGTGGTCATTCCCGCTGAGAGGGTTCTAACAAAGAAACAATTGATCCCTAGCTAAATGAGCCCTTGTGAAATTCCCTCAGCTGGTTTTATCAACGAGGTGTGAGAATGAGTGTGTGTTTTCACCTTATCACAGTGCAACTCAAGGTTCAGGTCTCCCTTGTTTGTGTGGAGACGGACATAGCCTTTTTTCTTCACATACTGGTAACGCACGGCGTCGTCTGCAATTGCATCTGCAGAAAGAACAGAGTACGCATATTCTAACTAAGCTGCATGACAGTCTCTAATCAAAGCAGGGACACATCTAGAGATCTACAAAAAAAATATCAGTGAGATCACCTGGCAGAACCAATTTCTTTCCTTTTCCCCACCCATTCTGTCTCTCTAATCTTAATTTGCTAATAAATCTTATTTCTGGCTTTTTCTGGCTCAGAGGGAAAGAGTAATTTTCCAAGAAAAGCAGTTGACAGACCTTTAACTTAGATCACTCCCTTTCTTTACCTTACAAGTTTTCCAGGTCCAGAGCTTCTGAGTTTAGCTTGTCTCATTTTCTGTCTTGGGTAGACATCTGTGGCCTAAAAGGGTTTCTTAGCTCTAATCCTGAGCTAATCTGAAGGCAACATAAAGTCTGTTGGTCTGCAGTGATTGACTGAAGAAAGATGAAGACCTCTGCCCACAATTTTCATATCAGCTGCTCTTGCTCTAGCAGTTTATGTTGTCCACCACCTTGTAGCTGTTGTTAACATTTGTTTCCACTGCTTTTTATTACTGCTGCAAGTTGGTCAACTTTTCTCAACTGGACTTGATGCAAAGATGGCCTCCTATCACAGAACCACAGCAGCAAACCCTTCAGAGCTCCTGAGAGTAAACCCACTCTTTTGAAAAACGTCTCTAGAAACAGTATGCATGCTTTGAGATTGATTCAGGAATTATTTTAAGTTTACCTATAACTAATGTTACTTCTTCCACTTCTGCAAACTACAATCACAATCCATCATATCAATATCTTCTTTGGTTTGTTTACCGTTTAGGACAGCAATGAAATTATTGAATATGAAGAAATGCTTCCTTTTTGTAATTTAAAAACATCCTTTAAGTTCTCATAATTCTTTCTTATTCTGCGTTTTTAAAACATCTTAGCTTTTTTTGCTGAAAAGAGAAGTGAGTTTTCTTAGAGATTCAGCGTCTTTCCCACCGTCTGAGCCGTCACTGAAACCTTGATTTCGATTGATAACCCTTGTGCCCGGTCTGGAGCACTCGCCTGTCTATTTATCAGAGCAAGATCGAGCACGCTATCTGTAGCATCATTTCAGAAAGACAGCCTTTGCTGCTTTGATTAGTTGCACTACCTTACCCTCATCCTTTCAGACTTCTGCTTCTACGGCGTTTCATCTTGGCCCTCTCGCCTCTTTCAGTGTCCTTTTCCTTATTTGTAAAGTCTGATTCAGACTTTCCAATAAGTGGCTTTTCTACAAGCAGCTATGATTCGGACATGACCTTGATTTAAAACTAAAACAGCTTCTGCATCAAAAGGTTGTTTCTATAACAACTGTCATGGAGTAAAGGTAACAGTGAATCACAGGTGTAGTCAGTTTATAGTCAGCAGACAATAATGCAAGTGAGTAATATGAAGGCTCCAAGAGAGGCTGAACTATTTTTAAAGAGTGATGCTAAAATGTCATTCAGACTTGAGATAGAAGAGTTTTTTTAAGTGAAAGATAATAAATAAAACAATTAATTTCTATGTTTCTGTATTTGGATAAGAGTTTTGGTTTAGAGTTTCAAATGTTCATTATTTTTTTTCATATTAGGGTTCAATACTTGACAAAAAAAAACAGGCTTTGATGAGCGTGATGGATGTGTAAAGCAGAATGATCATGGATTAATGAATGGAAAAACAGATTGATGGTTGGCTGTACAGACGGTTGGACTGATGTACTTGTGGTTAAATGGATGTTAGAAGGGATGTAGAGATGATAAAGAACAGATTGATTAAAATAAGAACCAAATAAGGGATGTCTAGACTCAATGATCAAATTAATAGATGTTTTAATAAAGAAATGATGGATTGATAGATAAAACATTTAGAAAATGGTACCGAAAATAATATCTGGAGATCTGTTTAATAAACTGATTCATATATCAGATACAACCCGTTAGGTTAAAGGGAAAATTATCATAGAAATCAAATTTTACTTCTTGGTTTCTGGTTAATTTAAAAGGAGACCAGTGACCTTTATAATGTATTTATGCCTCAATCTGTGTACATTTCATTCCGGATTTCTACATTTTGATTTAAATAAAAAAAAACCTGACATGAGCTCATGACTTTTAATAGACTATGTCCCTAAACGTCACATTTTATTCCTTATCCTTTGTAATAACAGTCTTTTTTAAGAAAACTAAAGTATGTAACAAAAAAAGAATACAGACTATTCTTAAGAGTACTGAGCCCACTACACTCTTGCATAACAGTGGATCTCTCTTTCATGGAGCAGCTCAGCAACTGACAGGGTGAGAAAACACTAAATGAACAGCTCTTGAAGTTGCATGAGATTTCTGTGAGCATGAAGCTGCACTTTGTTGCAGAAAGATCACACATGACTAAGCAGTCCTTGTGAATGATTAAAGTGGAAAGCAAAGAAATAGCAAAAGGATTTGTTTTTATTGCTGCAGAGAATCTTATTAGGAGAAGTTTTGACTTGCCTGCTTCTTGTGTTGTCGCAGGAGTCATGGCTGTGGATGTGAAGGAGGCAGAGACTCTACCGGTCGAGTAGTGGGCCTAGAGGAGAGGATGGAAAAACATTGGTATAAAACCTTTAAATTATACTTTGAACCGGACTTTTTAAAACCAACATTTTCACAATTTTTCTTACTTTGATCATGTTTCTTCCACTTACTTTTTAAAAAAGTTATCTTTTTTTAAAATGTCAACTGCAGCATTTTTTTATAGTCTTGATAGGTTAGATATCAGTCATTGGCCATAACAGCAAAATCAATATCAGACATTGCTATTATCCCACACTTTCCGATCGGCACATACTTTGTTAACATGCCAGCTCTGTTGGAAAAGGTTATATAAAGTTTAAAAAAAGGAAATGAGATATAACCAGAATTTGAGTATAAAGTATTTGCGTATAAACTTATGAAGCATTTTAACTCGTGTAAAGGCCATGCAGTTACATGCATTTTCTTTTTTTTAAGTGATCTTGCACAAGCCCTTGAGTGGAATATAACTATTAAATATTTTCGTTGAAATTCACAGTATAATAAATGAATTTCAATCCATTACAATCCATAACAGCCCAAACCAATGGTTGGTTCTAAAGTTAGCAAGTTATTTTTTCCTGAAATCCATTTAACTAAAGGTATTCTGTAAAATGCATCTTTCCAATGTTGCGATGCAGATAAAATATGTTTTCTAAATAAAAAGGGCATTTTACAAATAAATCTGATCCCCATCAATGGCAAGCAGCACAGGAGACCCTTTAGTTATCTCCATGGACATACACAATCAAAACATGTTCGCAAGTTAAACCCTTAAGGGCTTTTCTTTTTTCTTTTTTTTCTGATGCCTAAAATTCCTAAAATTAATTAGTAAGTAATAAGGCAAAAAATAAAATAAAACTTTGACATGCATCTTGAATAGTTGTCTTATTCGCTCCAGTGCATCTCCTTCAAACACAGCTTTCTTGGTCCTCTAAAACACTAATTATCCACAAACATAACAGAATCTGCTGCAGGTCGTGAACAATTAAGACTCTAAGCCTCAATAACATCTAGAAATAGTTTCTTTTTAGCTTAAAATGAGTGAACACTAGTTACACAGATTATATCGGATTTGTTAAACAAACAGTGGATTCGGAGTGAAGAAGTTGCCTAAATCAACATGATAACTCACTACAGATAAAAGCCTCAAGTTATAATTGCATGTGAAAAAGCTCAGTCTAGACTACAGATTATGTTTAGAAATCTTCTGCTCCAATTCTTCTGAAGGCTGAGGCTTCACCTTGTTTTTTTTTTTATGACCTATATCCTCGCTTTCTCAGAAGCCATCAGACAGTCACCTCAAATAAACACTCCAGGCAGAGAGCCTTTGGTTTAAAAAAAAAAAAAAAAAAAAAAACAGTAAGGGAAAGCTGATAATGTCTACAATTTCATATCTATATTTCATATAACAATCCTTTTATTTAATTTCAAATGCTGTGCGTCGTTTTTCAGAAAATGCAATGCAACCTCACACCTTTATGTAACTGCTTATGTTTCTTTTTACAGTCACTAAATGCATTTACTTCCTTGGCTAGTTTACTCTGTGTAACAAGGCGTTTGGCGCCCTCTTGTGCACAAAGTAATTATTACACGTCTTGATAAAACCGCAAAAGTAAATTTGCTGCAACAATCAGTGAAATTTTCACTGTATTTTAAATAAATGTCTAAACTAAGATAGTAAAATAATGGAATGAGAAGTTTACATTTACCTTTAGTTTGAAGAAAACTACAATTTACATTTAGATGTAAAACAGACCCAAATTTAACCGTGTTAGTAACTCAGGTGACCAACTCCATTTCTCAAAAATCAGTGTCCTATAGCGTGAAGATGGCTCCCCTGTTCAAAAGGCTTTAGTCAAATAGCTCATTTTTAAGACACTGGTGAAATTGATGACTCAATAAGGGGTTTATACACCCATCGATTCTGCAGTGTTGGACCAGGAACACATTGAAAACATGTAGGAAACGGATACTAGAGGAATGGATTAGCGGTAATGCAGACAAATCATGAGATTAATAAATCATTTAATGATTTAATGTTACATTTATTTTAATTGATCTGAAATCTTATCTTAATGTACAACAGAAGTGTATTTTAACATTACTTTTGTTTTCTGAGGAAGCCCAACAATGTTAATCAGTAAAGAAATATTAAGATAATACCCATAGCTTCCACAAAGCACTCAGTCGCCTTTAAATACTTGGCTAAATGCTGATATAGAAGGAAAACCTTGTGTGTTTTTACATGATAGGGTATTCAGAGGAGTGGCGGCCTAGTGGTTAGGGCATAGAGCTTGGAATCCTGAGATTCTGAGTGCGATCCCCACTCCCACAGACTGCCACTCTGGCTGTCTGAGCAAGACCCTTAACCCTCGATGGCAGCCCACTGCTCCACAGGGGAATTGGTTAAATAGTTCAAACACTATTATAAAAAAAAAAATCTGAAACCTAAAAATAACTTGCTCGAAATTTAGCTCAAAGATTAGAAACTAATATATCAAAGTGTATAGTTCACCAGCTACACCCACTGAGACAAATTCTTAGCCCAACGTGTAAAGTATTTCATATAACGTAATTGTTTGTGATGTCATAATTGATTTAACGGGTCACAGTAACATCCAGGGCCAAAGCCACCTTATAGACTTCCATCTATCACCTGTTTTGCAGTTTTTCCTCCAAAAAAATATTCTATTAGAGGAGCCACTAATGCCATATGTTCTCTCTACTCCTGAATTCTCCAACCCTACTGATGAAAGCCATTAACACTCAGCCCGGTTCTACCAGAGGTATAACTAAGGTGTCCACAGTGGCGACATGTTCATCAAGTAAAGGCTGCACGTCAGTTTAGATAGGAAACTTTAACCCAAATTTGAAAAGCAAACTTGAATCTCTGATAACTCAGATTATATTTGAATTTACTTTGAATCTGTCTGATTGGGCTAATTTTCTACTCTTTTTGTAAAGCACCTTAGTAAGAAAACTACACTGAAATGTGACATTTCTTTGTGCACCCATAAAGAGCAGTTTAACACGCATCAAATTTGTAATAAAATTTCTCTCATTTACATAATTTATCCGATTTTCTTGTAAAAAAAAAAAAGAGTTCAAGGGAGCCATTAAGACGCGAGTCCCTTTGATGCTGGTCCAATTAGACAAACTCCTCATTTAAGGACACCAACTAACATCATGCACACTCATTTAAATTAAAGGAAAAAAAGCTGCGCTGTCATTTCTACTTGTAGATATCTCTGTAAGCGCTATGTATGCGATTTGAGAGTAAAGTCTGAAGTGAAAGAATGCATTAAGCGTTTGCCTCATCATTGGAGTGCAGATGCACTTAGCATAGCCATGATGCTTAAACGTTAAGGGCAAGAGCCCTAAGTTTATATTATCTAGGGCTGCAACTAACGATTATTTTAAAAATCGATGAATCGGCCGATTATTTTTTCGATTAATCGGATAAAAAATATTTTTTATATTAACCTCTTTATTCCAAAATAAACATTTTAGACAGAACAAACAAGCACACAAGTACAGGTTGCTCATTAACTGTACTGGTGCAATATGAAAAATAAATGTTTGTGTTAAAACTACGCAAACTTACATGAGAAATGTAGCTGTACATCCACAAAATATAGGGTACTTTGTTTCATAAGGCCCAAAAAAAGACATTTTTGTTTTTAAAAGCCCCTAAGGGGCTCAAACAATAGGTCCCCCCATTTCAACAAATTAGTTTTTTTAGACTAGAAGAGTTCTGCCTTTTAAGACAGGAAAGTATAGCAGTTCAAGTTGCTACTTGAGAAAATACTTAACCATAGAGATAAAAATAGCCCTGTGATTCAAATTATAAATTGTATTTGGAATAAAAATTAGAGAACTAGGGGTGCTAAAAAACACATCCTCCAAAGACAGATATTTACATGGGAATGTGGCATATAATTAATTGACATATTACTGATCTTCCTTGATTTTATTCTGTTTTACTTCCATAAATTGCAGGATCTTCTTTACTTTATCTTTGCCAGAAGATTTAAACTTTAAAAGCCTTGCCCTCATAAGTTGCAAGTTAATTTATTTATAAAGAAAATATAAACGCTGCTTAAGCTAATTCAAATGAAATTAAAAGTAAAATAAGTAGCCAACCTTATCACTGTCTGTAACCTACTAACACGGTAAGGAAAGCATCAGATGAGCTACCTGAGAAACTAACGTTACGTTTCCCCACTTTAAAACCAAACAAACATGGTCGCTCACCCTGCTGATCAGCTCTCTTCACTGCCATCGAAGGCTCCAACGTGTTTTCTTTTCAGGTGCTGCATCATAACAGTGGTCCTTCTGTGCCATGTTCATTTGTTTTTACAAAAGTTGCATGTTACGACTTTTTTCGCTTTACAAAGCGCAGGCTGTTTTAATTCTTGTGATCAATCCCGGCGCATGCGCGCTTCATTTGCAGTCTTCATTTGCAGTCGGCGGCGGATGACGCATTAATCGCGCGACACAACTAATCGATGATGAAATTCGTTGCCAACGCTTTTAAAAGTAGATTTTTATCGCTTTTATCGATTCGTTGTTGCAGCCCTAATATTATCATCAATAATCTGTTTTCAAATGACAGCTGATATGAACAGCCAGAAAGCAAACACCCTGAACAGAAGTCTGCAAGTTTTTTCACACTTCTGGGGAAATATCACAACTCATGTCTGCTCTAAAAGGTCATGTTTGTCCTGAAAGTCTCTTGGTGTGAAGCAGTGTTCACTCCTTAACAGGACACTGCATAATGAGCAGTCAGAGAGCTGCCCAGACAGGCTGTAGTGCTATTCAACATAAGCAATATAACAGATTCTTTTTACTCTTCTTAATGAGGAGAAGTCATAAGTGGACACAGGAATGAAGAGTGCTGCACAAAATGCCTTTGACCTTTATTCTTCAGTCAATACAATCATTTTTCTCTGCTTTTTAACTTCTGTTTATATGGTGCAAAATTTGTGTAAAAAAGATAATAATTGGCAAACTAGAGTTAAACATCTTTCTTGGGAAAATGAGTGGATGTTTAAGGATGGATCAAAATATTGCTTTATAGAAAGCTCTTTTTTGTAAAGAGAAGTAATTGCATTTATTTCTGGTTTTATTTTCCTGACCATCTTTGTTTTCCAAGTGTTTTGTCTTAACTCACAGCGTTTAGTTTGTCAGTCTTCTTGGCTTCAGGCTCCTTCATAGTAGAGGCCAGGAGTTGATCCCCCTTGTATTCTTTGTACAGTTCTGCCAGGGTCTCTCTTGTTTCTAGGTTGGTGCTCTTCAGGTGGTACGCCGGATCCTGCTTGGCCTTTTCCTCATCTAAACCGTAACAGAATCGAGAGCAGAGTTTAACCATATCAAAAACCTTTGTTTTTTTTTTTTGTTTTTTTTTTAATTAAGAGTTCTTTTTTTTTTTATTTAACCCATTTGTTTATCTCATAAATCCCTCAACTTCAAACAGTCCTGAGCATAACAGAGGAGACATTCATCCTGAACAGACACAGCAGAAGATGCAATAAGTGTGGTTATTGGCTAAAAAGTTAAATTATTATTGTTTTCAAATTGAATTTAAAAATTCTAAATTTAAATCTGAAGAAAAAAACAACAACCTGATTGCTCTCAGAAAGGTACGGTAACTAAAAAGAAAAATCAACATTTATCAAATATTGTGAAGTTTTCACTAATACTAAGACTTTGTGACCTAAAGAGCTGATGCATACAAGTTATTTTAAATGATTCCTCAGGCCAATATACAGCGCTTGAAACTATCAATGCTAAAAGCAGGGGTCCCCTCTTGAAATACCGACTATGTAAGTTGGGAGATGACGCTGTCGTTGGCCAGGTAATATGACCTGGAGGAACGTATCGCTTTATGGCCAGAAGCTCTTATATAGTCATGGAGATAAGGCTCTTGCTCTGTTGTTTTCCGCCTGCTTCACTACTGGTCATGGCTGAGGGAGGGAAGATGTTTAAACCTTCTGAGGAAACTAAAAAGAGAAAGCACGAAAGGGATCATGGGCCAGGAAAAACAAGAGCCGATCAGGGAAAGGAGTTTATTCATTGAAGCAGGCTAAAAGAAGAAGTCGGAAGTAAAACCGATTCTCTTTTCTCAATTTTATTATTAGAATGGTGAGTTAACACTTTGCTCTGAGTATACAATTATATTTGTTATTGATTTCTATGTTTAGTAGAAGCAAAATACGGGCAGTTACAGTTATAGCGCCACTAGTGGACAAAAGTTACATGGCGTGCCTTTAAATGCAGGAAGCAATGGCCTTTCATTTAACTTAACATTGTGAAAACTGTTTTAGATTTCAGGTGTTCTATGTTATTTTAGATACAAGCTTAATAACACATGGCACAGTTTAATAGAGAATTTACATTTTCTGTGGTAGGGATAGTGTAGTAAAGTATTTTCAAACGATACGTAATCAGGTTTATTTTTTACTATCATCTTTAATAAAGAAAAGGCATTAATTTATAACAACGATGAAAATGTTTGTATTTAATCAAATGTATGTAACTTCATTTATCCAGGCAGATCTCACTGACTTTAAAATGTTCTTTTTTAGAGAGACGCCTGGCCAGAATGGCAGAAGCACACAGACTAAAGCTTTTTCATTAACATGAAATATGAAAAGAATCATCTTTTAGAATGTTTTTCCTACTTCATTCAAAATTTAAGTTATATTTGTTTAGTACTTGAATGTTAACCAACATGTCTCTAATAGCTTATATCCACACTTAATACCCAAATTTTAGACAAACCGCTGACGATAAAATGGAGGGGGTTATTTTCTGTCACTGCCATATGCTCGTCATTGTCCAGGAGCAGCTTTTCAGGTTTTGAGGGCAGTAAAGAGCGAAGCAGGTTGTTGCAAGAGGTGCTAATATTGCATTTACAGACAAGGTAGAATAGACTCTACTTAAATAGTGAAGGGAAGAGCTTCAAAGTTCAGTTTTTAATCCTCTGAGCTCGTTATATCAATATATTTAAGAAGTTATTATTTAAAATGAAAATGATAGAAAATAGATCTAATTTTCTATTCATTTTCTGAGTCCTTATCATCAACCTCTACTACCCTACAAAAAAAAGAAAAACATCTTGTTGGTAACTGACCTGGATCCAGCACTTTGAGGTTGTTCTTTACATGAAAAAAGTTGGACACATTGAACTTATCCAGGTTGGTGGGATCCTGTGAAGAAATAAAAAGAAAACTTTAAATCTCACAAGCATTTGAGAAGAAAAACTTTCCAAAACTCCAAGTAAATATATGAAACATTAAAAGACAAACTACCTGAAGCATTATGATATCTTTTCTAGTGAAGGGTTCATCAGTCAGCAGGTCTTTATAACTTTTTGTCTTGATGTTGAGCTGCTCAACCGCCTGCGGATGAACAGAAGGATGTCAAACAAACACAAAAAAAACTTTGAGAAAAACCCAATTTGTTGAGTAAAATTCTATATTTTTTGTTTCTGTTTTAAATGCTTATTTTTAACTAAAATCAAATGCATCTTAACTTCAAATACTTTGCATTAATAGACCAACCCCCAAAGAAATGTATAAACGCAATGCTTGTTTTAAAAAAAAAAAGGTGTATTTCTAGAAACACAAAACAATGTGACATACGGCAGTATTTAGAGATAAGATCATTGTATATGGGATGTTCTGCTTAAATCAAAATAAAGCCTCATCGATTAATAACATCAGTTTGGATTAGAAAAGTATTTCAGCTGCAGCGGAAGTCACCCACCTCGTAGGAAAACACATTTCCAGTGACCTTGTTGGCGACAATGTGAGAGTTATTTGTGAAGACGTTGTACAGAACTGGACAGTGGTATTTCCCTGGAACAAAAACCAACAACAAAGCAAGTCAATGGCTGGCTGAAGGTAGAGTTACTGTGAAAGAGATCGCTTATCTTCAGTGGAAGTTAACACTTGTGAAAATTTACAATCTGTGTTACATTGCCTTCTTTACACCTCATAATAAACCTCTTTAAGGAAATAAGTTTCTCTGTTTTCAACTCATAAGTAGCATTTTTCCAAAGTGATGAATGTGGACTGATTTGGACAATGTTGAAATAAAGGGAATCCACTAAAGCTACAGGGGATCTCACAGAAGTGGCACACATCAAAGAGTCACTCTATTAACTTTTAAAAATGTTTTTCTTTAATCCCAGTTTTGCCAAATATATGAATATTTAACTATTAATGTTTCAATTAATTTGTCACATTATTTCGTACTCATCCTGTTATCACACATTTTGAGCTAATCAACGGTTAATTTACAAATGTATTGAATTCAGAGAAGACGACAACTAATATAGATTCATACACTCACCGGCCACTTTATTAGGTACCCCATGCTAGTAACGGGTTGGACCCCTTTTTGCCTTCAGAACTGCCTCAATTCTTCGTGGCATAGATTCAACAAGGTGCTGGAAGCATTCCTCAGGGAGTTTGGTCCATATTGACATGATGGCATCACACAGTTGCTGCAGATTTGTCGGCTGCACATCCATGATGCGAATCTCCCGTTCCACCACATCCCAAAGATGCTCTATTGGATTGAGATCTGGTGACTGTGGAGGCCATTTGAGTACAGTGAACTCATTGTCATGTTCAAGAAACCAGTCTGAGATGATTCCAGCTTTATGACATGGCGCATTATCCTTCTGAAAGTAGCCATCAGAAGTTGGGTACATTGTGGTCATAAAGGGATGGACATGGTCAGCAACAATACTCAGGTAGGCTGTGGCGTTGCAACGATGCTCAATTGGTACCAAGGGGCCCAAAGAATGCCAAGAAAATATTCCCCACACCATGACACCACCACCACCAGCCTGAACCGTTGATACAAGGCAGGATGGATCCATGCTTTCATGTTGTAGACGCCAAATTCTGACCCTACCATCCGAATGTCGCAGCACAAATCGAGACACATCAGACCAGGCAACGTTTTTCCAATCTTCTATTGTCCAATTTCGATGAGCTTGTGCAAATTGTAGCCTCAGTTTCCTGTTCTTAGCTGAAAGGAGTGGCACCCGGTGTGGTCTTCTGCTGCTGTAGCCCATCTGCCTCAAAGTTCGACGTACTGTGCGTTTAGAGATGCTCTTCTGCCCACCTTGGTTGTAACGGGTGGTTATTTGAGTCACTGTTGCCCTTCTGTCAGCTCGAACCAGTCTGGCCATTCTCCTCTGACCTCTGGCATCAACAAGGCATTTCCGCCCACAGAACTGCCGCTCACTGGATGTTTTTTCTTTTTCGGACCATTCTCTGTAAACCCTAGAGATGGTTGTGCGTGAAAATCCCAGTAGATCAGCAGTTTCTGAAATACTCAGACCAGCTCTTCTGGCACCAACAATCATGCCACGTTCAAAGTCCCTCAAATCACCTTTCTTCCCCATACTGATGCTCGGTTTGAACTGCAGGAGATTGTCTTGACCATGTCTACATGCCTAAATGCACTGAGTTGCCGCCATTTGATTGGCTGCTTAGAAATTAAGTGTTAACGAGCAGTTGGACGGGTGTACCTAATAAAGTGGCCAGTGAGCGTATTTCATATGGCTCTACACGAACTCCTGTAGCTTTAAGTTTTTATCAAACTACTGTTTAGAGATTTTGGATCTGTCAAGTTAAGCTTTTTTTTTTCTATCAAAGAAAAAACTTTCATTATGCCATGAATTCAAATAAAATAATATTTTACCATCATTGTTTTTGGCGAAGTTCAGTTTAATGAGGGCCTTTGCTTCCAGTTTCTGTAAAAAGAAACAAAAACAAACAGAACAGTCTTGAATCCCATAAATGAGCTCCAGATAGTTTAGTATACATATAATACAGGTTTGAAACATGTAAAACACTCCATTAAATATTCAGTTCTTAATGACTTTTTACATATTTAAACAGATTTCTAGACTTACCCTTTAACAGGAGGAAGTTTAATTACCTATGGGTCTATATATATATATATATATATATATATATATATATATATAAATAAAAATTGGAACTACCATTGTGTCATAACTTCTGATTTATAGGTGATCCAACAGAGCAAAAATAACTGTCAAGCGTCTCCAAATGTTAAAAAAAACAACAACAAAAAACACCATAAAAACACCTTTGAAACTCCGGATGAAGCCTAAAACTGTATAGAACCACATCTGGAAAATGACTGCAGCAAATAAGGACTGAATCAGTTGAATCCAAATAGATTTATTTCCTTATAAAAAGGAATCTGGCCAAAGAAAAGTGCTGATTTCCACAACTATTTCTGCATATCAAGGTGTTTTTTCATAAGATCTCACTGTGTTTTATTAAATGTTACCATTATACACAGCATTATATCAATAAATTGAGTAGAAAATTATGTAAACAGTATTTTTTTTTCTGATCACAAGATACTTATATCCAACTATACAACAAATATAGCCAGAAAATAAAGTGTATGTTGTTCTGCTGTAACAGTAGTGTGTATTAGTAACGTGTGGATAACAAAAGTTTTATAAATTTGCCCAAATCAATTCCACATACAGTAGTTACAGTGAATAGAGGTTCTGTGGGAAACACGACTCATTGCTATGTTTTTATGACCAGATCAGTATTATTTTCTACTCTATGTACATGTTCACTTTTTGAAATAGCAGACAGGTAATGTCAATAAGTTGAAAATATACGATTAAAGCGGAATGTGCATCTTTATGTATAATTTCATCATCTCTGCACCAGAATCATAATTGCTGTAAAGAGGCTGAAGGTTTTTTTGCTACTCTATTTTTAAAATAGTAGGAACATTATGTAAAATGCTGTAAACAGAAAGAGAAAGCAAAACTTAATCACACAGCTGATCATACTGGATCATCTTCCAGGTCAAAATTCAGCTGTTTTCTGATGATTTCGGTCTGACAAATTTCCTTCAAAAAGCCTCCAAATCTGACATTTTCTTCTTCATACCATTGTGATATTTTATTATCATGAGAGTAAAGGAATAACTATAGTATAGTAAGTAAAAATTTACGAAACAGAGCTAAAAGCTGTGTGTAAAGAAAACCTCTCTCCCTGCAGCTCGATGAGCAGGTTTTAGGCACCGAGGGCACATGTGTTACGCAAGCAGACTACTTGTCCATAAATGGTCAGACAATGATCTCAAGCCCCTTGTTGGAAAGGTAAGGGGTTTCCAATTATACCAGCCATTATGGGTGGTGACTAAAAATGGCTGTGTTCGTTTGCATATTTGCACAATAGAGCCGTTTTATATCTTCCTGGTTAAGCTTTAAGTAAGAAACTGTAGGTGCAGATGTGGAAGAATCCAGTCCTTGTTGGCTGGAGTTCAATGAGAGCCTGCTAATGATCTATTTACTAAATCAGGTCCTCGAGGACTAGAATACACATCTGAATGCCAAATACTTGGGTAAGTAATTTCATCATATACTTTAAGACGACGTAAACAATTAGTGATGTCTTACTTCTCCAGTGATGGGATTGGTTCCATACTTCTTAATCCAAGGAACAATGCTCCTATAAGAAGAGAACAGAGAGCAGAAAATCTGAATTAATTCAGAGATAGATGGCATTATTGATGGCTGTTTAACTATAAAAGCAGCTTTAGCTTTAAAATAAGGGATTAAAAAAAAGTATTATCATCATTATTAAGTATTTTCTATCTTCCAGAAAGTTGCAAACTTGTCATCAGTGGGCCGTTCACCCTAAAAGGGAACAAAAATCAGCTTTCTAGCATCGCTACTTTAGTCCCAAGATGTAAATCCTAAACCTATCTAAGTATTATCATGTCATTTTTTAAAATCATTATTTGCTTCAAATGCTTACATGGTTTTAATGTAATAACAACAAATCTTCCCCTGATGGAATTTACAATTAGTACAAGATACTCACAGCAGGTCAAACACCAAGCCTTCCTCAGTGCAGACGGGATACTCAAATGGTTGCAAGGACAAACTGAAAAGAAAAGAAAAAAAAACCTTAACAAACAAACATTTGCTAAATGAAAAAAAATTAGCAAAGAATGATACAAAAAAAAAAAAAATGGTACCAAACATGTTGCATCTTTAAAGACACAAAAAAAGTCCTGTGCAGCTCTAATAAAGCAAATGACTGCAGTTAAAATATGCTAATGCACTGCTGTAAAGCTGGGTCTATTATTTCTAGCATGTTAAGATCTTACAAAGGAAACAACAATGTGGTGCAGGGAAGTAATGAAAGCATCAAGAATGGGAAACTGAAGCAATGTGTCATAAAAACAGACATCGCTCAACATGGGAAAAAAGGAAAACTGACACATTCTGCTGTTGGAGATGTTTTCTAGACAAACTATTTGTCTAAGGCTTGTAGATTTTAACGTTATGGTCCTTTTTACTAAATGCAATATAACTTTTATACTGTTGATATTTTTAGTCTTTTTTTTTTTTTAGCATGACTTTTCAATGATCCATCTAGAAAATTGCAGATGAAAAATAGTCTACTGGCTAATCCTGGCATATTTACAGCAAAGTTATTAAAAGACATTGTCACTGCAATGAATAAAAAGAACTAGAACCAACATCAACATCTACAAAAAAGAAACAAAGCTCCACGGGTTATATAGAAGCGGTCGCAGATTGGGAATCATTAAATAAAAATCAAATGTGACCAGTTCTGTGTTTCTTGCTTCTTTTCAAGGTTTTGATTCTATTGCCATAATCCTTCATTTTTTTTCTTATATTTTAACAATAATATTGTTTTATTTGTTTGGGCTTCTTTAACAAAGTTTAAAATTTAAATGGACTAGTCTGTTATTTTTTCTAATAGATTTTATTCTGTTCTACTCTTCATCTCTGTCTATATCCAAAGAACTCAAAAACTGCATGCAAACATTTTTTTTCTCTCAACATCATTCCTTCTTACCTGCAGTGGTCAAATGGGAGACGTTTAAAGTTTGCTTGGGGAATTTCTGGAAAATAAAGCATAAATTAAAAATCTAAGCACTGAATTTTATTCAGGTTAAAAAAATCATGTCAACAACTATTATCTAAAACAAGAATGAACATAGTTTAAACCCGTTGTATATAGAGAACCAAAGGCGACATGCAAAGTGAGAAAATTGTCTTGGGAGCCTAAAGAAATCAGTTTATGCTACACTGCATGGGGAGAACTCTGCTATCCTCATAAAAAAAAAGACAAACTATACAAACTTCAGTGTAGAAGTAAGGGTTTTCTCAAACTACAAGCCACGGAGTATTGTTTATTTATATTGTTAAAAAAAGATCCCCAATAGCTGTCACCAAAAATGGGACGAGCTAGTCTTCCTGGGCTCCACAAAACAAAACAAAAATCACTTAACAATTAAACATTGTAGACATTATTATATATGTGATTAGAAATCATTCAGAATACGTTATTACATTCATATCTAATACATGAATTCTCACTTTCATACAGTAAATATGTTAATTCACTACTCATTCTAATAATTAAAAGATACTTAACTATTCAGTTCACGTATATTCAGTGGGCAATTATTCCAATAACTGATAAATAACACGATAAATAACTTCCCTTTAAGGCATCTGATTTTGGACATGGTAACATCATCTGACCACCATTAGCTGACCTTGTTACATAAGAGTGAACCTGATCATATCTGACAATTTGCTTTTATAAGAAAACAGGTTGAAAAGAAGAGACAATGTTTATAAAAAATGTTGTAGTATTGCAAGCCAGTCTGTACTCTACCATTAAATAAGAAAAATGACAGTGCATACTGACAGCAGGTTCTTATGGAACAATGTAAAACCAACCTGGCAGCTCTGTTCTGAGCAGTTTGTAATTTCCTTAGTTGATCTTTAGATGCGGAGGACCATACAGGTGAACAATAATCCAGGTGACATAAAATTAACTATTTAGCCACCCGTCCCACAATATTTGTAGGGACATAAGAAAGATTTTCCTCACCATCATCAGCCCTGAAATAAGGACCATACAAGAGTGGAGATTGGAAATTACTGAAAACAATCTCAGGTTACAAACAGAGCTCCCAGGCTGTAGGTGTCTTTGGTTGGGTAAATATACTGAATCAGTTCTCCCTCAGGTTTTAACAGCCTTTCCCTCCACCTCTAGTCTCAAATGCTGCAGAACTCATCTGGCTAAATGCTGTTAATCTCAGATCTCTACATCTCCTGGTTCTTGTTAATCATCCATCCCACTGCTTCAGATGACTCCATCAAACAGCAAACCTCCGTGTTTTCCTCTGGCTGCCATCTACAAAGGTTCTCAGATCACTCCTCCATAGCCCTCCTCAGGAAGTGGTGCCAGCAGAACCCTCTCATTCTGAATACAGCGGAAACTAAGGAGCTGATGATGGACCCACACAGCTTCAGATCCACCTCACTGACACTTCCAGGGAACTCATTTTGGAGGAGCAGTAGTTATAAAGAAAAAAGATACTGGTTGCACAGGTTCATTATCTGAGCAAGACTTATTTGCACCATTTCCTTTTCTGCTCAATATGTGTCTTACAGATGTTGTTAAGGATATTGATGAGTACTTTCAGACTTTAAATCCTGCTCTTGAGGCGTTTCTTTCCAACAATCATCCTAATTTGTCCACCATTCTGTAACCTGACTCCTATTTTCTTCTTGTAACTTCATAATTTCTTATTTTTATCTGGATTTTTCTTTTATATAACTAAATGCATAGTAGTTACTATTTCTGAGGGGCATTTCCTTTCTCTTCTGAGGAACAACTCAATGCGTACTACTGTGTTATTTTAACATTATTTCAGTTTATGTCCCGTTATCCCCCCACTGTGGGACATGGATGTATTTTTACTCACCCGCTCGTTTCCCGCCATAAAAGTTTGTGTATTCTGTACATGTGATGTACCTGTAATAAAATTAAAACACGTAAACGTTAAGAAGAGTACATAAACATAAAGAGGAAACTCAGAAAATCTTCTCATGAAGAGACACATCGAACAAGCTAACGTGTGTTGGCAAGCTAGCTTTTTAGCGCTAGATGAAACGTCTTGTTTATGAAACATTATCATCTTACATTTTGTCCTTTTGGTGCTGTCGCTTCCCCATCTTACTGACTGGATGGTTTTGAGCTAACAAATACGATTAAAAAAGTAAAATTTTATCAATAAAACATACAAGCTATTAGCCTGTCTGTACGTTTCCTGTTTATATTTTTGTTCTTCTTCTGTGGATTTTTTGGGGGCAGTAGCGATCCAATATATCTCAATACTGCCACCCTCTGGTCACACGTTGGCCAATCAGTTACATATTTCTTTAATTATCTTAATATGATTAGTATATGTCAAAAGCACTTTTTTCTTTCATTTCTATTTAACTGAAGTAATATATCTTTACAACTTAGTTACTTAGTAATCAGCAACTTAATGGGTAAAATTTTCCTTTATCTGCTACTGTAACAGGTGGCACTGATTGGCTCCTCAGCGATTGTTAAAGGATGGATGAGGAACAGACGTGGCATGATCAGAACATTTTAACAGAGTTCTGTCATGTTTGTAACTGTGCTCTTGTTGTAAAAATAAAAAATAAAATTTATCATATTTTTGTGGTTTCTCAAATTGAATGCAGGACATTTCTTTGGATGTTTTGGATTTATTCTGGATATTGCAGGTAAGGTTTCTCCATTTATTTGCCAATGTGCTGTTTCTCATTGTGCCCTTTTTGAGTTGAGTTAAACTAATTGTTTGATGGAAGCTGCGCAGAACATGAGAGGAAGGACTTACCTCATCAGAACTTCATCCCCAGAGTATTGAAAACATTTGCCCCTTCCAATTTAAAGACTGATGGCTGTCTTTACCTTAATAGATTCTACATATCATTGTTAATGTTTTTTTTTTCTTCCTTCTACTAAGGATGTTTTTATTATCTATAAGTACACATACACACCATAATGAACAACTGTTTTAACTGAAGAGGAAAGTATTCCCGATGGTTTTAAGATATTTCCACTCTCAGTTTGGTTAAATTAAACTTTCTCTTGAAAGTTATCTGCTCCCTAAACAATTTTGACAGTGCCGAGTTTTTTTTTTTCTTTTTCCAAACTTTCAAAATTCTGGTTGAGCACAACAATCCTGACTACACATAAACAAAAACTCTGCAATACCTTCAAGAATAGCACCAAATTGTTTTTTTGGGGGGATGCACCTTTTATATTTATATATATATATATATATACACATATAACACAATCAAAATATGTAAACACAGCACTAGGATGAATGATGCACTAACTGCCTAAATAACAAAACACAGTAAAGGTTGAATTAATCTGCAAGTTTATTATTTCTTGGCATATCACTGATATTTATGGCTACAAGATAAAGAAGTAATCAAATAATGTAGAAGGGCATCAATGATGAACTCACAGTTGGTAACGTACCGAGGTGTGAAAATTTATTTGCTCACATACAGACTTTTACATTATTTTATTTTTGTCACACTTTAATATTTCAGATAAATAGTTGTAATATTGAACGAAAACGGCCTGAGCATTTACAGAAATTGTATTTCTCAAATTAAAAAAAAATATTCAAACCGGCCAGGCTCACTAGGAAGCACTAAACAGCCCGTCTAAATGTATGTTTCACGCTTGGCTGAGTTGGAGTTGTTCATAACAAGCGATCCGTCTAACACAGTTGGAGTTTAGTAGTCGCCATCTTACTGCAGAATCAAATTGTAAATGTGCCTAAGTTTCTCTTTTAATGACTGGAAATACATTTTTTTTTTTAGATATCATTATTCATGATATCATTTAGTCTTCCAGGTGTTGAAGAAGCAAACCGTCCCAAATCATCCGATTCTCACCGCCATGTTTGGTTGTGACTGTCTCTCCTTAAATGAGGTGTTATCTTTCCAACCCTTTCCAGACTGATCAATGTCAGTAAGTTTTTTCTACAGAGGCTCAGCTCTGAATATATCTGGAGTTCTGCTAATAATTATACCTGGGTCTCATCTAGATTTCCAAAAACATTTAACCAATCTCTTTAAACTAATAATTTAAAATTATCACTTTAGGTTTAAATCGCCTTTTACCCCTTGATGCATAAAATTACAATTTTTTTTTTAGTAACTGAGGTGATCTTTGCCCAGTATTTAAAATTTGTTGCATGAAACATTAGTCACAAAAGAAAAGGTAAAACTGTAACGAGGGCAAACATGTTTTCACACCACAGTATGATGGATAATGTGGAGCAGAAGTTTCATTCAGATCGCCTGTTCTACACATTTTCAGACATGTCAACAAACTGAACATTTATTTTACCCTCTTTCTCACTCCACACACAGAAGGAATGAGGAAATGACTGACAAGATACTTCTGTCAGAAACCGGAATTATATCTTTAACCAAATTCTTGATTTGGTTCATAAAGGGAAAATTGAATACAGGGCAGCAGCACTGCCTGTGTACCTGAGTTACTGCTGGCTTGCATGTCATCAGTAATAGCACTTTGAAGGCTGATAAAAGAAAAACCAGAAGAGTTTGGAACAGTTAGACCCTGCCTTTACACAGGGGAGGAGAATAAAAACAGAAAACTCAACAACATATGAATGTTCTCATCCTTGGCACTTTATCTGTTAGGCAGAATCAAACTCGCACCTGTTAGCTGTCGCTGACAAACACACAGATTTATGACTCAATGAAAAAAAAAAGCAGAACAGAGATGCAATAAACCACGTAAGAAACAAAAATAGAAATAATGAAAAGACAAGAGGTTCAAAAGTCCATGAGTCTGATGGTAGTTGGCTTGCTTGGAAAGTGCAATATGTGGTTTGTTTGTTTGTTTTTTTTTCTTCTTACAGAGCAAAAATGATAAAAGCCAAAACATTTTTAACATAGGTTCTCTGGAGAACAACAGGAGTCTCCATGGGAACGGTAAACGTGGCCGGATGTTTTCGGCTTTTTTTCTTCTTCCAGTTTAATGGGTTTGCTTCGATAAAAACAGTCTTCGAGTGTTTGGGTGGAAAAAAGCACAACAGAAGATCACCGCAGGTCCATCATGCACACAGAGTCATCCGTGATGTTCACATGTCCTGCATCCTGAAAATAAAGAAGCACGTTTAAATTTACACATGAACAGAAAGCAACCACAACAGCATAAAGGATTTTAGTCTCAACCCAAGTTTGTTTATTGCCGTTTTTTTATTTTTTTTATTTCAATGATTCTAAAAGATCTTCATTATTATAAAACTCCAGAAACGACTTTCTGTCCTTTTTCAAAAGCTGCTGCTGGATGAGAAATGTGCAGTGGAGGCCTAGAAGGTCATCGAAACCACATTTCCCAGAATCGCTGATGTTTGTTTCCAGCAGTCATTGGTCAAAAGGTGGAAGACACCCTGAACAGGCAGCCCATCCATCACAGGGCAACATTACAGCAGAGGAAGATGGACACCCATTTAGAGATGATTTAAAGGTTAACCTACAGGGATATTTTTGAAATGGACTTCTGACACGTTTATTGATACCCATTCTTCTCAATACTCAATAAGACAACACTTCCTCTATGTCTGTTTACAATGCTTAAGTATAGAGAGGAATCTTGACAATTTAATCTCTCCTGATCATCCAGTCATGGGTCGGCTTTTAAGTTCCTCAGCTTTCCTCCAAGGTTTTCTACAGGAGTTAGGTCTGGAGGAAACCGTAGAACCGGTAGGAATACTTTCTGTCTTTCTGTGTGGCATTTCATGTTTTTTTTTGTTTTTTTTTCAAAGTCCAAACTACATCCAGATTCCACTTTGATGGGTAAAATTCATCTAATCTTTAGGAACCCAGCCCAACTGTCTGTAGATTTCACTGCTCTTTAAACGACTTTAAAGCATTTCTGTTTTATTTCTAAATGCAAATGTAATCCATTTTATTATTTAAAAAGGCTTCAAATATTCAGTAGCTCTTTGGAATCTTCTCCAAGATATCTACCTTTAATTTTTTTCCTGTTATTCTTTCTTATTTTGTGTGTTTTACTTGTTTGATCTGTTTTTTTTATTATAAGAAAATTTATAAATGATAATATATTTCCTATTTTCAATTTATTTCCTATTTTTTAGTGCTGATAAAAACCAAACAATACGCACACAATTTAGTTGTAGGCTCAGAACTTACATGACACTTGATTGTAAGACCAAAACAAACGGTTTAAATGCTGTGAGCTTTCAAGTATCTTCTCTGAAAAACTAGATAACCACAATTTAAGCATAGTTTTTACCAAAATATTTTATTATCCATTGAAAAGAGGATTTAATATGTAGATATTTTTCAGGGGCGCTGAACGGTGGAACAATGAGTAGCGCTGTTGCATTGCAGCAAGAAGGTTCTGGGTTCAATTCTGTCTTTCTGGAGTTTGCATGTTATCTCCAGGTTCTACTCAGGCTTCCTCCCTCATTCCAAAAACATGACTGTTAGGTTAAATGGATTCTCTAAATTATCCTTAAAGTTGTAGGGAAACAACCGTTGCATCCAACTGTTGCACTTCCGAATTCTTCCGAGTGGTGCAAGACTTTACACGAGTGAATAAAGTGAATGTGATTGGTCGATTATCAAGCAAGCAAGTTTGATTGTGGCTGGTGTCTCGGAAGCATCTTGCTAACCAGTTAGCAACTTAGTGCTAGTTGGTTCCCAATGGGAAATTCCATTGGGACCAAGTTGCACTAAATTGGTGACTTAGAAACGGCACTGTCAAGGAACGCTATGGTCAGAGGAAACATGCAAGAGGAGCAGTTTTGTGTCGAAGGTCCTGGATGAGTCTCCTCCGTCATACATTTTTTATTTATAGGAGGAAAGTGTGGACGAATTGTTGTGGAAGAGGACGACGCCAGGGTGTAAATGATTATTTCTTATTTCAGCATTTGCATATATTAGCTGCTACACATGAATCAAGATGCTATGAGTGAAAAAAATTGATTGGCAGATGACTGTTGATATATGATTGGCCGAATTTAGGTGTACAAGCTGACGTATAACTAACTGGCGAGCATAAAATAACGAAAAAAACCCCCACAGATTTAACAGTTTATTTTTTTTTTTAAACAGAAATTTTTCTAAATTTTGGGACAACATAATCTGATAAAGAGTACATTTATATACATGGTTAAGCCAGAATGATATGACATTTAAACATGATTTCCCTACGACTATAAGTGTGTGTGAGTGTGTGTGCATGGTTGTGTGTCTCTGGGTTTTTCCTG